AGAGAGATCTGCACAGTGGCAGATAATGTAATACCTCTAAACTACATATCACATCCTGTTATGGCAACAATTGAAATCATCAGTCATTTTTAGCAATTCCACAGATATATGACATAGCAAAGTAATTTATCCCCAAGATCAAAATGTCGTACGTCTCTGAGATAAACTGAGTATAGGAGGAAGAGAGAAGAAAAAACACATCACCGAGGGGTTCTGTCGGTCAATGTCAAAGCTGTTGATAGCACATGGTTCAGCCAAGAGTTCAATGGGTTCCTCACCTGTGCAAAGGAACAGTGTGCAACAAATCAACCACCAAATAAGAGAGGTTACAGATTGTCTGAAACAGGTATTCCTTTTGTAAAGGAGGCAAAAGGTTTGGATAGGTCAAAACGAATAATGCATTTAAAAAACCTGACCATGTAATAAACGGGTTTAAGTGATTTGGGTTGAATTTGGTACACAGGTATGGAAAATTAATCTGATCAACGAATTAACCCGACAAACTAACCAGATCAACCCAACAGGTATACAACTCATTTATAACCTATTTATTTATATATTTTGACGAGAGTTTAAATGGGTGAAATTATATGGATTTAAGGTTTCCGGTTAAGTGTGCCAGCTCTATCTTTTTGCCACAGAAAACAAGAAATATGAATTCAGCCACTTAGCAAATAAGATGACCTTAAGCCTTTCCACTAGCGCACTCAAATGGAAAAAGCCAGATATGGCAACAAACTTCATACCTTGTTCAACAACAGCAAGGATTCCATCTTCTGAGCAGATCATAACAGGTAACACCTGTGATGTTGACATGTTACCAATGTTTGAAGAATAGCTATCATACTGGACCTCTCAAATTTCACTCTCAGATAATGAGTGGGACTGAAACTCACCTGCTGCAACCCCAGAAAGAACTATTGGCTGCTGTTGCCACCAAAGATCCCATGCAAATACAGTACCAGAAGAGCCTCCTGCCTTCATGTAAACCAGCATAATAAATAAACAATCTCGAAAATTTTCTCGAGTCAGAACACAGAAAGACAACTTATTCGGTTTCCAAATAACCATGTAATCCAATAATTAAACATGGAAGAATTTCAATGTGATCACAAAATCCTTTGAATCATCACCCAGCATGAAATTTAAACATGTAAACTTTCTTTTTCTTTTTTTTTCCAGTGAAAAAGGGGTTCTCCTTGGAGGCATCATTTAATGCATTTTTTCAACTCTGGCGGGTGTGTTGGGCAGTTCTAGGAGTGATGGGTCAGTGTGGATGGCAGTTTGAAAATGTCAACCTGCCTAATAAACCGACCCAACCCTATTAACTAAAATAAGTGGTGTTTTGAAAAGTTGATAAAAAGATAACTTTTGATTTTTTGACTTTTTTGATGATTTTTTTTGACAAAAAATTGGATTGTTTTAAGTAAAAAATCTTACTTTTTTTGCTAAAAGAATTAAAAAATTAAAAAACTAAAAAATCGACTTTTTACCGATCTTTCCAAGATGCCCCTAAGCAAGAGAAAAAATGAAATAAAAAATTCGAATAGCATAATCAATGGTTGCCCCTTGGGTAGACAGTGACGTTGCAACCCTTACAACAAAACGCAACATTACGGTCCCGTATAGGAGCACAGCAAATCCTGCTGTGCGCTATGCACAGCAGCTACCCCTCTTCCTACCTTGTTTGTGTCTTTAAGTGTGAAAAATGGATAACAAATAAGATTATAGGCCATATTTTTTAGTATGATTGTGGATAAAATTATTTTCTATTATAGGAAGAAAAAATAATGTATGAGCTTTGCTCAGCGTAAAATTGGAAACGGCGAGGAAAAAGTCTGCTTTAAGTTTTGACAAATGACATTTTGTTGAGACTTTAGTTGATAAGTATGAGATAATTTGAGATTATTAATAATTTTCCAGTAATCTGTAATGGGTATTGTATGAGTCATCAGGTGTAATACAAGTGGTCCATAATCATTAAACATAGCACAACTATAAAAAGGAGTTGAAGGACATTCAGTTCATACCTGGTAGTTGAGGAAGGGTTGTGTGTAGAAGGTTTTGAGGTTGTCCAAACTTCTAAGATTCAAAGTAGTTAGTTTAGGGAACAAGATGGCATTTTCATCATCTTTCTCTTTTCCCTCTTCCTCTGAGACTATCGCTAACATCTTTAGACAGCTATAAACATAGAGTACTTCAAGATTTCGCAACTGTGGAAGCATATAAGACGGAACAATATTCACCAATTTTTCACAATCCTCGATCATCATGCGCCTCAAAGAACAAAACGACTCTCTTGAGTGCAATTTATCCCATATATTTGTTATGTTTCGTACTCTGTTTATGAACAAATCCTCCAAAACAGGGAATACAACCTGCGAGGTTTATTACATTATTGTTAAAAAATATTTAGAAACTCCTAGATATCACTATCAAACAACATTAATTTAAAAAGTGAAAAGAAAAAGGTCAAGCTATAAGAGATTGCAATTTTGTTGTAATGTAATTCCTCCATTTTACACCGTCAACATTTTAAACAGAAAAAAATTACATACAAAATTAGAGAGACCAAATTGAAATTCAAACAAACTATAGGACCGCAGGTACAACATATTTTATTTATTACACCGATGGTTCCTATAGTTTGTTTGAATTTTACCTTGATCCCTTTAGTTTTACACATGATATTTTTCCATTCAAAATTCGGCAAATGTAATTTCATTTTGGCCCCCATGTGTGTAATTCATTTACAAAAAAATTTAGATTTTTTCGTTAATCTTAACCACATGATTTTATTGTATGCCTTTAAAAAAAAAAAAGGTTTATTTTTTTAAAAAGAAATATTACTATTCATTTTTTTTTTAAATATATTAAAATCATGTTGCTATTATCATAGATCAATTCTCTAGTTTTTTGTGAATGAGCGGACTGAATGAACGCTATAAATACAAGAGTAGGACTCACAATGACCCCAAGGTGTGGTACAATCACTTCCGTACAATATTAGGACTTGTATCAAGTACAGATATAAACTCAAAACAAATATTTTCACTGGAATAGAAATCCTTTTTCTTGTGCTTTCTGATGGCCATGGTTAATTAAAAGAGTTAGGACATCTGTACCTGGTCATTAAACAATGGTTGTGCTTCCGAACTTGTAGAGCTGCTGCAGAAACTTTTGAGCTTATACAATTTGTCAATTGACAGAGAACTTAGTTCAGGAAAACTAATGATATCGCCACTGACAGTTGCATTTGCTTTCTTCGAGACTATCACTTCTATCTCTGGACAACCTTTTACATAAATTGATTTTAGATTTTTTAACCATGGAAGCATACTTGAAGGAATCACATTCACCAGTTTTTCACACCAAGTGGCATTCACGACAGCCAATTTTTTGAAGGACCGTGCGTCTGTTTTTGGAACTGGGAGTAATTGCTTCCCCCAAATCTCTGTTATGTTAGGCAAGTTGCAAATGTGCAATTCCTCCAAGGCAGCGAAAGCAGCCTGCAAAATAGTTCACGAATCACAGCACATTTCATTAGTGTCTGTTCCAAATCGATTCACTCCTCAGGTGAAATCAGTATTTCTCCAACAATCACTACACCATGAATTAACGAGCTAGTGTGGATGTGCAAATGATAGGCAACACTAACTAAACACGGTGTTGCCTTAAAACTTTTCCAGATTTCATTTGGACAAGAATGAGACGACAAAAGCCATTTTGTAAATTAAAGGCACCTTGATGGTTTCTTTTTAACTGATGGTCCCAGAACTTGGAGCATCTCTATTGCAAAAATGCTAAAATGCTAAAATGGATAGTCAAAGCCAAATTTTGACATTGCTACAGTGTCAAAATGCTAAATGTTAGCAAGGATAAATTACATTGACATCCCCTGAGGTTTCTCTCTAATACATTAGTACCCTTGTGGTTCTACAAATTACATCTCCTCCCAGAGATTTATAGTCACATTACAAAACTCCCGGTCTGTTAATTGACCGTTGTTTCAACTAACATATTTTGCTTTTGTCATCAATTATTATTTTGAAAATGCCATGTTTACCCCTAAAATCCCACATTACAACCTTCTGCCTTTAAAATCGAGCATAGTAATCCCTATTTCCACAATCAATTTCTTTCTCATCTCTTCTTCACCATCTTCTCACAATCATCACATATTCATATAAAATCTTCATCAAGTGTCTCTCTCTTGCAACCTTATTCCATGGTATTTACATGAGGTTCCTCTTCTTTATTCTTAAATAAGTCCCTAAGAGGGTTGTACTCAGTATGTAGCAAATCACAAACCTGGACAAAGGTCTTAACCTTTCAACTACACAAAATGAGATTACCAGGTGTGGTCCATAATACTCTTGATGTCCTTGGACACTAGTAGGCATTTTCATTCCCAAAGAACATGGCTAGTCTGATAACGCCGACATGATTTGGGTGGACATTGGTGGATGTGGTGGAGATAGACGTTGGTGTTGTGGTGGGGATATGGTCAATGGTTATGGTAGTGACAAACATGGATGGTGTGGAGGGGTGGTTATGGATTTGGTAGCAATGACACAAATGGGATAGGTTTTGGTTGGTTATGGTGGACGATATAAAGGATGGGTAATTATTGAATACTCTCAGAGCACGACCATGTGGTGCTCCATTGTATTTTGATTGGTGGAGAAGTGGGGTATTATGATTTTGTATTGTGTAATTGAGGAACATGAGATGATGTGGTCAGGAGTATGGACACGTGATACTCAGGTAGTACCTATTAATTTTCCGTGAAGGATGCGGATGAGAGAGTGGGTTGGGAAAGAAGATTCTGCTATTGGATTGGGATAATTAAGTAATTTTATTTTAGAGTGTGAGGCTAACAAGGTGATTTTAAATTTTATGTTAACTCAAGTCACAAATTAGACACTTACGGGGATTGCAGCGTAATTTATGCAAGGTAGAGGGGAGATCTATATTAAATTTAAACTTCAAAAGGTGTTAATATAATTTAGGAGAAATATCACATTAGGGGAATGTTAAAAAAATAATTATAAATCAATAAGAAACTTTATAAATAGTAATAGTAATTAAATTTGTAAATCTTTTCATGAATTTGTATTTTTTTTTTTTTCCTGACAACACTGGGTTGTAATAACCCCTATAGTTTATCCTTTTACCAATGTTGCTTTAATAGGGTACTGCCAATTTCTTTTGTTTTTTTCACAAGAAGTAGGGGTGTAATCAGTTTGGGATGGTCGGTATTCAGCTGAAATTTACACCAAACTGATAATGTTGATTCTATTATATTGATAATTAATACAAACCAAATTTTTTCCTAAACCACACCAAACTGTACCAATTCAAATGGTTCGACTCAGTGCGATTTTCTGTTTATGACCTTTCAAATTTGAGTTAATTCTTAAATTTGTAGTATAGTAAATAATTTATATAAAAATATTGAATTAGCCATTTGTATATGTGGGGACATATTTTATAAATGATAACATGTGGCCAAGGTGGCAATGGAGTATCAGTCGAGGTGCCACGTGTCTTAGACATGTTGCCGAGGTGATCTCGGCTAAATCGAGGTTATCTGCAGAGATATCGAAGTTTGAGATGAGCGGATAAGGGACAAGAGTCCTAGAATGGGGAAGGACCTCAGCCTGAATAAAAATAAAACTCTTAGGGAGTTTATCTCTATCTGGCTAGGAGTCCAAGATGAGCATTGAGCCAGAGTCTATTGAAGCTAAGCTTTTACAGGGATCAGGTTAGTGCTGGCTATAAAAATAAGGCACCATCGTGGGTCTAAGGTACGCTTTTTGTATTCTGGCTAGTGAGTTAAGCATTGTTTCCTATCTTTGAGAGATAACTGAGTATTGACTTGATCGTCGGAGTGCCCCCGGGTGGACGAACCACCGCTGTAGTCTTATCTTTATGTGACAGGTCATTCCAGCGTGATCTATTCTGCTTGTGCTCTCCAGTTTGGCAGTGTGGTCGAAAATCAGCACCCACAATTTAGCGCCGTCTGGGGGAATCGTAAGAAGAATAGATGGCCAACGACGAGCAGAAAGAGAAGATTGGGAATGACATCCCTAGTGGGAGTGGTAAACACACTGATCCCAACATGGAGGAGGAGAACTGTAATGAAAAACCCCGAGAGCAGAATCCCAAGGAAAAGGACATCGGCCAAGAGGGAGACGTGCCAAAGAAGGCAGGCCAAGGCAAGTACTACAACGAAAGAGACCTCTAGGCATGAAAAGATAGACGCTTGAGGACGGACAGCGAGATAAAGGGGATGGCAAACAAGTTGGCAGACCTGCTATCGGTTGTCAACTTCATGATGCAGAACAACCTCATGCAGCCACCGTTTCCATTGAAGGACATGCCGATTCCAGCGGCAAAGAACGATGCCCAGAAAGGAAGGCAGAAAACAATCCCTGCAGTTCCTCAGCATGACAGGATAAGGAGCATTCACATCGACCTTCACAGGAGATCGGGCAAAGAGAATCGATGAGAGGAGCATCTCAGAAGACACCTCGTCCCAGGGGAACTTATGTCAAGGAACATTGGCATGTTCAAGGGAAATAAGAGCTTTATTTTGATACGATGAATGAAGAGAGGTCCAAGAGGATTCATAACGACATCAGGAGCAGCGCACCAAAAAGGCTGAAATCCTTTGACAGCCGAGCTCCTGGACGGACTAAGGAGGATTTTAGGGACTACCTCCAGAAAAAGCGACAAGATGCCGAGGTCACATCTCCGGTCAAGCCGAGAATGCCATTCTCAGTAGAATTGGATAAATTTGAGGCCCCGAAAAGGTTTCACATGCCGAGATTCCAGATATACGACGATAAGTCCGATCCTAATTTTCACATCGGCTTATATTTGAAATCAATGGTACTATATACTGGGAACGAACCGTTGCTCTGCAATGTGTTCCCCTCATCCTTTGGGGAAATCGCATCAGATTGGTTTCACAAGTTACTGAAAGGAACTGTGAAAAGTTGGAAAGGTCTGGCCGAGATGTATGTGGCCAGGTTCGTTAAAACAAACTGCAGCCGCTGAGAGTAGACTCCCTGATGGCCCTAAGAATTGGTGAGGATGAAAGTCTCAAGGCTTATGCCAAAAGGTATTGTGAGGTTTTTAACCAAATATCGGGGTGCAACCAAGAGTTGGTAGTCATATCTTTTAAGAACGACCTGAATGATGACTACTTGCTTCGAAGTCACTGGCAAAGACACTGCCAAAAAGTATAAAGGAACGTATGGCCAAGATTGAAAAATATGCGAAAGCTGAAGAGGACACGCCAAGGACAAAGGCATCAAAACAGGAGAAGAGAAACGGCTTGCCGAAGCGAAGCCGAGGTAATACTGGATATAATAGACAAGAAACAGGACTGAGGGCTACACAGGTAGTCACTACAGTGTTCTGAATCCTGGTTTACAAAGTCCTGGAAAGGATCAGGAACCAGCCTTACTACAGAGCACCAGAGAAGATTCCTGACGAATTTATGGGAAGAAGCCTTAGGAAGCACTGTGCCTACCACAATGAGGATGGGCATTTGACTTAGGGTTGTAAAGCCCTAAAAGCACATTTGGAAGGTCTAGTAAGACAAGGTCACTTAAGGGACCTAGTAGATAAGGCCAGAATAAGAGAAGGGCAAGCAAGGCTGCCCTAAGCACCGGCATCACCACCTCCACCAGCACCACAACCGCAAGCAGATGGATCACAAGTAATCAATGTGATTCACTCGAAGGTCAATGAGAACGAGGTATGTGCGGAAACACAGAGGGTGAAGCACTTGCAATACATGTATCAGGTCTAGCAAAAGAGGCCTAGGGCAGACGAGTACCAGGGACCAATGGTGTCCCTTACTGAAGTCAATCTAGACATGGTGTAGCACCCACACAACGATGCTCTGGTGATATCCCTCAAGATTAGAGAATGCCAGGTAAGGCGTATTTTGATTGACCAAGGCAGCTCTTGTGACATCATGTACGTCAGATGTTACAAGGAGCTCGGCCTTCACCGAGATGATCTGGAGCAGTCCAACAGTCCAATGGTCAGGTTCAATGGAACGCCGACATGGCCCTTGGGGGCAACAAATTTGGAGGTACAAACAAACACCAAGAAAGTAAGTATAGAGTTCACAGTAATTGACACCCCTTCCCCTTACAATGTTATCTTAGGGAGGCCATGGTTGCACGCAATAAGGGTTGTTCCCTCAACGCTGCACCAGCTGTTGCGATTCCCAACAAAGCATGGAATTTGAGAGGTCAGAGGGGATCAGGTGCAGGCAAAGAACTGCTTCATGGCAGCAATGAAATCCACCTATAACGTACGAGAGGCAGAAAAAGTAAAAATTGAGGACGAAGACATGAAGGTCCTGGAAGATGTCAGCAAAAAGCTGGCAGACAAAAGCGAGGAAGCCTTGAAGAAAGTTTTGGTCCAACAAGATGATGAAGACCGCTTCTTCCTTCTCAGCTCAGGATTAGCCGAGAAGGAAGAAAGGGAGTTGAAAGCATTCTTG